ACCGCCACCTCTTGGTTGCATCCTGGTATTCGGTTGAACACCTCACAGTACCTTTTGGCATAGGCCCTAAGGCTTTCATCCTCGCCAATTCTTAGAGCCATCAGAGCGTCCACCCTTAATGGCTGTAGTTTATTTGTCACAAATCTAGCCACAAGCATCTCGGCCAGGCCTTTCCAGCTTTTCACAATTTCTTTCGGCAACTTGTGAAACCAATCTGATACAATTTCCCCAAAGGATGAGGGGAACACTTTGCAGAGCAACGACTCGTTCCCAGTGTATAGTGCCATTGAGTTCAGGTACAAGCCGATGTGAAAGTTAGGGTCAGACTTCCCATCGTATATCTGGAATCTCGGCATGTGGAACCTCTTCGGGGCTTCAAACTTGTCCAATTCTACCGAGAACGACATTCTCGACTTGACCGGTGAGGATACCTCGGCATCTTGTCGCTTCCTCTGGAGGTAATCCCTCAGATCCTCCTTGGTCCGTCTAGGAGCTCGGCTGTCAACGGATTTCAGCCTTTTCAGTGCGCTACTCCCAGTATCGTTATGAATCCTTTTGGACCTTTCCCCATTAGTTGCGTCGAAACATAGTTCTTTCCCTTGAACATGTCGATGTTCTATGGGGTCAACTTCTTTGGTACGATGCGTCCTCTAAGAATCTCCCTTCATTGACTCTCTTCGCCTGACCTCCCTTAAAGGCCAGTGAGAGTGTTCCTTGGTCTTAGTGTGCTGGGGGACTGCAAGGGTTGTTTTTTGCCCCCATTTCTGGGTATCTTTTTTGGCCACTGGAATTAGCGTGTCTTGTAACGGGAATGGTGGCTACATGACGTTGTTTTGCATCATGAAATTGATGACTGATTGCAGGTCCGCCAATTTGTTCGCCAGTCCCTTCATCTCGCCGTCCCTCTGTAGGCATCTGTCCTTCCACACTTGGAGGTCGTCCTCGTTATAATACCCACCCCGGTCTGACTTCTTTGGTACGTCGCCCTCCTTGCCGACGTCTTTCTCTCTGGGATTCTGATCCCGAGTTTCTTCGTTGCAATTATCCTCCTCCACGTTAGGGTTAATGTGCTTACCACTCCCAGTAGGGATGTCGTCCCCAACATTTTCTTTCTGTCCGTCGTTGGCCATCTATTCTCCTTTCTTTCCCACAGACGGCGCCAAATTATGTATGTTGTTTTTTGACCACACTGTCAAACAGGTACTTAGCTGGAGAACACTGGCAGAATAGATTGCGCCCAAACGACCTGTCACAGAAAGAAAAAAGACTCTGACGGTGGTTCGCCCATCCAGGGGCACTACGATGATCAAGTCAGTTATCTCTCAAAGATAGCAAAAGTGCTTAACTCACTATTCAGAATACAAAAAGCGTACTTTAGACCCACGAGGGTGCCTTACTTTTATAGACAACACTGACCTGATCCCTGTAGACCTGATCCCTATAGAAGCCTAGTTTCAGTGGACTCTGGCTTAATGCTTATGCTGGACTCTCAAATAGATAAAGATAAACTCTCTAAGAGTTTTATCCTTATCCAGGCTGAAGTCCTCTCTTATTCTAAAACTCTTGTAACTTATCCGCTTATCTCAGATTTCGATATTCCCGCAAATAATCTCGGCCTAGTCGAGATTACCTCGGCATCAAGTCAAGGACACGTGGCATGTCGGCTGGCACTTCAGTGTCACCTTCGTCACGTGTTGCTATCCAAAAAATATGTCCCCACATTATGCATAAATTTATGATAATAAATTTATCAATCTCTTATTTTTATAGTAATAAATTTATCAATCAAAATTTATAAATAAATAAATAAATCTACTTAATAAAACTAATTGGTAAGTACCCATTTTGCTTTGACAATTGATTAGTTAAAGATTAATGGGACTGCTAAAGGCGGCTGGGGAGATGTCGGCATTTAAGGTTTGATTAGAGATGATCAATTAACTTGAATTTTCCACTTCAGCTATTTTTGCTACCACATAAAACATTTTTCATATTTTTCGTTGTTTGGACGAAAAATATGCAAGTAAAACATTTTTTGAGAAAATATTTTTATATTATTTTTTAAAAAGCAATTTACTTTTAAAATTTTTGTAAATTCAATAGTAAGAATATGATCCAAAGTAGCTATCCAAATAAGGAAAGCAACCTTGAAAGGAGAACCCATTGCCCAAATAGATTTCGAAGGAAACACACCACCAACACCCCCTATAAGCACCCCATAAAATAAGGACACGGAGAAAACACCTTTGGACCTGCAAACATCCCAAACCAAATAATCTCTCCCTTCTTCTCCAGTATGCAAAATTGACTCTCACTCACTACATTTTCAATACATTTTAGTCTTTTAAAATAAGTATTTTAACTCACTAAAAAGTCATAAATGATATTTTATTGAATCAAAATTTTTCTTTTAAGCTATAAAATATTTATATTTTAAGTGTCAACCAAATGTTAAAAAATAAAAATAAAAAAATATATTTTTTTTTGTATAAATTCAATTTATAAAAAATATATATTTTCTTTTTTATGTACATCAAAAAAAACTGAGACACACAAGGTTGGAAGACGAATTGTTTTAATAATCATGCTAAGGGGCAATTTGGGAACATGGTAAAAAGTCGATTTTTGACTTTTTAGTTTTTTTACGCAAAAAAATCAATTTTTTTAGTAAAAAAGTAAAAAAAAAAAATCAAATTTTTACCAATTTCTCAAAACACCATTAAATAGACCTTTAGTTATTTATTTTTTTTTATAAAAAAGATAAAGTATATTTTTGCCATTATGAAAACCAAAGATATTTTGTTAATCTTCCTCTTGCTTTAAAGGAGAATTCTATTCATGTACATTTTTAATTAGGGAAAATTAGTCTAAGATCTCTTTTACATTTTCAATGATAGAAGAGATCCACAATATTATTTTATGATGTCTAAGGTCCCTTACCCTACATTCATATATCACAGAGAAATTTGACTCTCTCTCTCTCTGCGATCTTTAGTCTAAGGCGAGTTCATTTCTCTTTCTCTCTCCAAACCAAACCCTCTCTCTCTGTGCATATTCCTCTCTCTCTCTCTGCTTCTTTCTCCTCTCTCGGTCTTCATCTCCGACAGCACCACCACCGCTACAACATTACCGTCCTGCCATCGCCTCCTTACCTCATCGCCGTTTTTCGTCATAGCACCGCCACATTTGTCTTTCTTGTCTCTTTCTCTCTCTCTCGCTTTTCATCTTCTTCTCCGATCAACTTCTTCCCTATGGCGCCACCCCTTCTTCTACGCCCTCAATGACAACTTCTTCTTTGGCGGTGCAGATCTAGTCTAAAAGCACGACGGATATTCATCTCTACGATGATCATCTCTCTCTCGAGTTCTCTTGCTTTGTTTTTGGGGTACTTACGTGTAAGTCCTAATAAGTAGACTTATTATTTAATAGGTCCTATGAAAAAAATTTGTGATAAAAAAAGACACTAATTATAAGTTTTACGGACAATTTATAAAAATCATGACAAAAAAAAAGTCACAAATAGTCAATTTTTAGCGACATATACAAAAAATTGTCACAAAAAATTATTTTTAGCGATAATTTTACCAAGACTTCTTTTTCAATAGAACTTGATGGGAATTAAGTCAAACTATTGGGACCTATTGGTAGTTTACCTTTGTTTTTGTTTGGTACATCTGTATCAATTGTTGTTATGGCGAAATTGACTATGATTTCTTGAAGGGAAAATGTTAAGATCAACGTTGATAATTTGAGTGTAAATTTGATTGATTTGATCAAAAAATGAAACTAGGTTTCCTCAATCAATCATATGTTTTGTATATTATGTATATTTACAATCTGGTTTGGTGACTTTATGTAATCTTCATCAATCTAGTTTAAATGTTAAGATCATTTTCAAATGTATATAAATGTTAAGATCATTTTTTTTTTAATGTTTTGTATATAATCTTCATCAATCTGGTTTGGTGGCTTTATGTTTTGAATCACTGTTTTTCTCTTCTCTATTTTTTGTTTTGTTTTGTTTTGTTTTTGTTTTTGTTCAATTTTCTCTAGTTTGATAAAAAACACAAAGAAAATTTCTCTGATTTGGAGAGAATTTCTCTGAGAAGTCTAGAGAAAACTAAAGAAATTTACAAATTAGAGAAATTTGGAGAGAATTGCTTTGCACAGTGGGAAATCCAGAGAAATTTGGAGAGAATTTCTTTGGAGAATGGAAAGTCTAAAGAAATTCAGAGAGAATTTCTTTAGAGAGAATTTCTCTAGAGAGTGGGAAATCAAGAGAATTTCTCTGGTGGATTGAAATTTCTCTGGATCGATGTGTGAGGTACATTAGACATTATAAAAATATTGGAAGTCCTTTATGCTATAAAATCTTAATACTATGGACCTTTAAAAAAAAATCCCCTTATAATTATGGTATTTACTTCTTTAATTATAATCAAAAATTTTTATTATTATTTTGAAATATTTAGTTATGATTTTTTTTTTTGTATTTGATTATAATTTTTTTTAATTGTAACTCAAAAAATATATAATTGTATCACTTTTTTGTGTTATTAGAGTACTTCCAACATTTATTTTTTTTTTTCATTAAATTTGAGTAAAAATTTGGATTAAAAGTTTCATTTGATACTAAGTGTTCTAACGCTAAATTTTCAATTTTAATCAAATAATTAGTCGACTGAGAAGATGGTCGAGTGATTGTCTAACTTAACGTAATTTCTTTTTCAAAAATTTTTCAATTTTATCGCCACCTAATTGTCATGCAAGTTATCCACCCAAATGACTAGCCAATCATTTATCTAATTGTCCATCAACAATCACTTACAAGATTTAATAAAGAGTTAAACACTCCTCTAATTAAAAAAAAAAAAAAGAAAAGAAAAAGTAGTAAGACCTTTTTACTTAATATTAATTTAGTAAAATGATTGAAGCATTATTTTTATTAAATTTTTATCAAATTTAGATTTGAGTCTGATCGGAAGCAGTCTTATACATTGCATGTAGTACACAGCCGTACCCGAAAAACAGGAAAAGTAAAAAATCTTCCACTTTCATCCAAAAGAAAGTTGTGTGATGGCTTCAATGCCCTGCGAGTTCTCTCTTCTCTCTCATCTGAGGCCGACTCCACCACTTTCTTCTCATATGTCGCACAACTCCTCAAATTCGAACTCATATTAGTAAGCGCTCTCTCTCTCTCGCTCGCTTTCCTTTATTCAGTTTCGATCTGATGTCATTTTGTTCAAACTGAATCCAAATTGCCTCTAGTTGTTGAAACTAATTCTGTTTAAGGTTTTGTCTCTGATTCGAGTTTATTCACTGATAAAACTGTTCTTTAGTTGATTTTTTTTAACAAATTTTTTATTTTTAGGGTTTTAGTTTGGTCTAGTGTAACAGATGCTGAGCTTGGGGTTTTGAGAATATTTTTGTTGGAGCATTGAGAGGGGTGGGGGTGATAGATACAAATATACAATGCGGTTGTTTCCTTTGAAATGGAGTTCCTCAAAAGAGTCTCAGAGTAAAGGAGGAAGCAATCGTGCTCAATTGTATCTCAATGTCTATGATCTCACTCCTATTAACAACTACCTCTATTGGTTCGGGCTTGGAATTTACCATTCAGGCATACAAGGTGCATTGCTTTTTTCTTTTTTCAAGATGTTGTTTATGCTTAAAAAAAAAAATCATGTAATTTTGTTGATGTTTGCTATTGAATTGTCTATGTTGTAACTTTGGTTTTATTTTCAGTATTACTGTCGTATAAATTTGAATTGACCAAAATTTAAGAGCTTATTTAGGTTTTCTTGTCGTATTTTATCTAAATCTGAAATTCCCATTTGATAGGCGTGATTTATTCTTTCAAGGAGTGTTGTACATGACTCGATTTTCCATTAGATGGCCTATAATATAAATGCAAATATATATATATATATATATTGATAAGCAGTTAGATGGCATATGATTGGAGGTATCAGTGTGGTTGTTGTACAGTCATGAGCTTTTGGTCTTTCAGTTATGTACAGTTTTAGTTTAGCGATGCTCTCAGCTTTATTTGGAAATGAAAAATAAAATGAAGTAAGTAGAACAAAGGAAAAAAATAAAATACCCAAAATGGCCACTAAGAGATTTTTTTTTCAATAAGCAAGTACAACGCTGTACACTAATCAAAACAAAATCTTAAATATCTATATGAATGTAAAAAATATCCGAAGATCTGCGGAAGCTAAATAGAAATGACAAGACTCTTTGAAACAAAAAAACACGGAACAAACCAAATTCCTTTCAAATACTAGAAATTCCCACCTTGTAAGTTCTGAGGTTTCATTCAGTGATTGCAACTTCTAAGGAAACATCTTTCAGTTGTTGATGGGGTGCCTTGGTTGATTAAAGTCCTACATATCTAATTGCTCAACAGCTATGAAGCACGGATAATTCAAAAAGTGTGACGTATCCGTATCGGATACTTATCGGATACTGATACTCCTCGGATACTAGCGGATACGTACGGATACTTCTTAAAAGTATCGGATACTTCTTAATTAATTTTTTATTAATTTTGAAGTATCGGATACTTAATTTTAAAGTATCAGATACTCGAAGTTACATATTACTTATAATGTTTTGTTTAGTTCTTTGATAAAAGGAATATAGTGAGAGTTAAAGTAATAGAATTTGTCAAATTGATGTATCCTTGTTGTCTCTCTCACTTCTCTCTCGCTTTCTTACTCTCTCACGTTTCTTCTCTCTGCTCTCATTCTTTTTTTGATGTTGGCATGTAAGGATGATGTTTAATTTGCATTTGCTTTTACTTTTAGTTTTGGATGTTTTATGAATGTTTGAGCACTTTTAGGTTAATAGGAATCCCTCTCTTTATTTATTAATTTACTTTAAGTTTTATTTTCATGCATATTACATTATTAAAATTATAAATTTTTTTTTTTTTACGAATGTATCCCCACTGTACCCGTATCATACTTTTTCAAGTTTTAACATATCGCCATATCCATATCCCCATATCACCATATCCGTATCCGTGCTTCCTAGGCTATCATTGATGACTTAAAAAAGTATATTTGCTGAAATTTTTATTTAAGAATGGTTTTTTGGCTTTAGCTAAGGTCTTGTGATATTCACTGATGAAGGGGAACAAGTTGAAACTATTGACATTGAAGACTTTTAGTTTTATAGGAATCTTTCTTCTTTATCAAGTTGTCTTTTGCTTTAGGTTTTATTTTTATGCATACTGCATTACTAAAAATTGTTAAAATAATATTTTTTACTAATGTATCCCCGCTGTACCCGTATCTTAGTTTTTCAAATTTTGTCGTATCGTCGTATCCGTATCGTATCGTATCCGTATCCCGTATCTGTATCCGAGCTTCCTAGCTCAACAGCATACTAAGGGAATCAAGAGTCCTATTTATTATAGTTAGTACTATTATCTTTAATATTGTCAACAATGGAAAACATTACGGGAAAAAAATGAATCAGCACCCGTCAGCTGGATAAAGCCCTGCCTGCATTTTTTGTATTGTGCTGCATGACATGAGTTTTTTCTCACTAATTTGGTCTCTCTTGTGCTTATTTTCAGTCAAGTCAAAGGCTGCCATGTATTTTTCCTAAGTTGGGCCCCGGTTTCTGGCCTTCTCTCAAATTTCTAATTTTCATTTTTTAAAAGTAAACCATATTGTTCAATTGTAATTGATAAAATTTTGTTAGGCTTTGTTGTGTTTTCTTGATCTTGCAGTATGGCAATGGATCACTCCAAGTAGGAACTCCCTAGCATTAAAATCCACCTTAGCAGGGGAAAAGGAAAAAAAATATTTGTAGAATCCTTCAATTCTAGGTGTTTATACCAAATTGGTCCATTAAATCTAAACCTTAGGGTTGCTCATCAACCAATTTGTTCTTACCAAATATGTTCTTAAAGTTGGTTTGGGATGTTCTAAATAATTGCACTTTTTGTCTTTTTATGAAATATGGGTTGGGTATGGGTTGGGTTTGAAGTGATATATTAGAGAGGTGATGTGACTTAAATAAGATGATGTGACTTAAATAAGATGATATGACTTAAATAAGATAGTGACTTTTTGACTTTTGATTTTTTTAGATCATGCCAAACAAGGCCTTAATTTCATTGTGAGCCGGGCTGATTGCATTGACTGCTTTGCCATTGGTGGCTCATTTGTCATCCCATTTTTTGCTTATCTTGACCATCACAGATTCACGGTGATCATGATTAATGGACGTGTAATTTATGATGGCAACTTAACTTGCAATGGCATTGGCATGCAAATTATAAATAACTATACACTTTTTTTTTGGGTGCCTGTGTGTGCGTGTGCGTGTGCTTGTGTGTGTTTCTGAGATATGATGCCTTCTTTTATATTATACATGGGGGCACACATGTCCATTGCTTAGGTACACATGAAATGAAACACATTATAAGTTTGAACGAAATTACTTGGAAGATACAATGATAAAAAGGAAAAAAAACAATGTAGATTTATACCTATTAATCCTTCTTCATTTAAATTTTAGAAATTAATTTTATGTTACATTTTTTATTATCATTGAATTAATTATTCTTATCTATAACATATAGAAAATATATAAAAGCATATATTTTGTGCATGTTCCCCATGTGTCATTCCCAACATTTTTTTGAAAATTGATGTATCCGCGTATCCGTGCTTCTTAGATCTTGTGCTTCTTGTTTTCTCCTTGTACTGTTAATGTTTTATGTCCTTGGCATAACATTCTTATGTTGGATGGGATGACAGTACATGGTTCTGAGTATGGATTTGGAGCACATGAGTACCCAACCAGTGGTGTATTTGAGGTGGAACCTAGAAGTTGCCCGGGTTTTATTTTCAGACAGTCGGTTCTTTTGGGCAGCACAGACATGTCGCGTTCAGAATTTCAGTCATTCATGGAACATCTCTCTGGGAAATATCATGGGGACACTTACCATTTGATTGCCAAAAACTGCAACCATTTTACTGATGAAGTCTGTAAGCGTCTTACTGGAAAGAATATTCCTGGATGGGTGAATAGGTTGGCCCGGTTAGGTAAGAGAAAAATTACTTTGCTTGTTGCCCTACTTTACATACTTAAAGAAGAAGCTACGTTGACTTTACATGATCCCTTTAACCTGGAATTTGCTTGTTAACTTCATCGGTTATGGGCATTCGACACTGTTTTAAGCAAGTCTACGAAACAATATCTGACAGATCGCATGCCACCTAGTTATTATGTTGGAATTGAGTAATAAAGGGGGCTTGAAGTGTCCTGGATATCTGGCTTCGTGTTTCTTGGCTGTGTGAATGTGGCCCACATCTGATTAGTTTTTCTCTTTATCTAATTTGATGTTCTTTTTGTTTTTTTTGTTTTGAAGTTTCAAGCTCTTTCTGCAATTGTCTACTGCCAGAAAGTTTTCATATCACAGCAGTCAGACATCTACCTGATCGTCCAGCTTATTCTGGTTAGTTAGTTATTTATTTTTTTTGTACAACCATTTTATAAGCTAATGACTTTAATTTCTTGCATGTTTGTCCCTACTTCTACCATCTAAGAGAACACTTACTGTATGATAAAGAGAAGATTTGATACATCAAAGCCTACCATATGTTGCTATACATAGTGAACTTGAAAGAGAATAAAAAAAAGAAAAAGAAACTATGCATCATTAAGTTAGAATTTTCATTTATCTAAGGAAACCCCTTAAATGTGCATAATTCTTGTATGGAATTCCTATATGTATGGCAATGGTATTTGTGGAATTAGAAATCACCTTGGTGAGTCCTTGGTAGGAGAATAAGATATATCATGTTGTGTGAACAGTTCTGTATAGAGTTTCTGTTTATGTTGCATTACTCTTTAATTTATAATAAACTAGGATCCCATCTTCGGATGTGCCTATCATGCTCTGTCTCTGTGACTCTTGGGCCTTTGGTGATAGTGCAGTTTCTTTACTCATTCTCTAATCTAATCTCTAAAATAAGGGTGAATCATCGTGGATTCTTTTCCATGAAACATATCCTTTCTCCATTTAACATAGGGCTTGTTGCTATGGTTACCTTCCCTTCCTTACATGCTTAAGTCGCGCATACCACTTGTATTGAACTAACCAAAGAAGCAAAAAATACTTGCATGAACATGGTGCAGTACTTACATTTTTCATTGAAGTAGACTTATTTATACTTGTATTTTGATTTTTATGTTTTCATGCATATGAAGGAATTATATTGATATATATATAAATATGCTTGTGCTGACACAAAGCTGTGTGTATCAATCAGACCCAAAAATGAGCGAATTATTGAACAAAAAACCTTGTGTTTCTCACATACAATTTTCTTTTTTCTTTTTTCTCCCTGGTCCAAAATTTATGCCAAAACAGATGATGGGTCGGATTCCGGTGTGTCATCTGTAACAGCAGAGAGTGAAGAGGAGGAACTAGATCATCACCTGCTGACTGCATCAAATGGCGATGTGGCATTTCTGAAGGAAAAACCAGTGAGGCTTGCAAAAGAGATCCTTTGATTTATTTAATTTTTTCATTAATTTCCTGTATTGTGTCCTGTTGTTTGTAGTGTATAAAATCTCAAGTGTCTCAGTAAACATTTCATCTCAATTATTTGAGCTCCTCAAATATTGTTTGCTGGATCTGTGATTGTCCAAGTGAATTGTTTATTTCCTATATTGTTCTGGTTATAGTTGGCTTCACCCTGTTGTACCATGAAAGTTTCCGACTTCTAAGTCATTGTGGAACCTTTCTGTTTATAAATTGCTAATAGCTGCTTCTGAATTCAGAAGACATGTCTTTCTTTTTATTGCTATCTGATTATAGATGAATATTAGAGCACCTGATAAGCATATTGTATTAAGAAGAACAAGAACAAAAAATAAACAAATAAATAGAAAAGTACTTGTTTGTAGCAAATCTGTAATATCTGTTTGTTTAATTGGTGTTTGCATAAGCAATTGTTTTTCACTTTTGCAGAAGTAACGGGTATTGGGAGCCCTGAGGGTGGTTAACGGAATGCAAAATGCGGCGTATGATGTTTTTGCAAATTTCCGATCTATTTTGAGAATTTGTTTTTTTTAATAATTTTTTTATAAAAGGACATGCATAGGGTAATTTTTTTTATAAAAAGACCTGCAATTTACACCCATTTGCTCTGTTTGTGAAAGAGGGATTTAGTTGTTTGTGCTGTGGATGCAACGATGCAACAAAGTTCAACATTGTTTCCACTGCGACTTCAACCTCCAGCTCCACTGTTTTCCAACCTTGCCACTTACCAAGATGAATCAACACCACAGACATACCCTCCTGCTCACAAAATCTCCAGTTGAAGATAACCCAGATGACAATGGCACAGTATTATATCGTGACGTCTGTGAGGAAAAACGGTGCCTAGTGCCAAATCAACTTTGTTGCTCATGTTCGTTGCATGATCCCTGAGGTAAGCAAGGCCTGCTTTATTCACCATTCATATTCCAACATGCATATCAACACTCTATTTTATCATCCAAAAAAATAAATAAATTATTAATGAAATCAAGAGGAATTAGATCAAAGAAAGAAAAAGGAAATGCAAAAATAGTAATAGTTAACCCAATTTATCCAAATTAAGTTGGCATCGGAAGAATGGCAAAATCTTTTGTAGAAACTGTAGAGATTGCCAGAATATGACAAATAATTGTAATTTTGCATAGAGACTTTTTTGTCTTTATTTCTTCTTGTATTTATTTTTATGACGACATTTTGTTAAAGCCTATACATAGGCTTGTAGACTTTGCAAAGTTTTGGCCATATTAGTGTGGTGCTTGTCAACAAAGTAGATATGTAATAATGTTAGGATGACTTTTGAGTTTTGTTTGTATATACAACATGTAGTCTATAAATTGGTTTTCTAGCCAACATAATAAACAACATAAATTATCTCCATCTTTAGTTGCCTACTTCGTCTCTAACGTCTCTTAACACCATAACTCTATCATAATTCCATAATAAAAATAGTAGAAAGCTTAAAAATAGTAGAAAGCTACTATTTTTATTATGGAATTATGATGGAGTTATGGTGTTAAGAGATGTTAGAGAGGAAGAAATGAGCTTTCTACTATTTTTATTATGAAATTATGATGGAGTTATGGTGTTAAGAAACGTTAGAGACGAAGTAAGCAACCAAAGATAGAGTTATCTCCTGGACTTTTAGGAAAGGGGTTTTCTACTATTTTTATTATAGAATTATGATGGAGCTATGGTGTTACGAGATGTTAGAGACGAAGTAGGCAATCAAAGATGGAGTTATCTTCTGGACTATTCATTCTATCATTGTTTATGAATGATATAATTTCTAATTTTGTCACCAAATTATTTATTTGGTGTTTTGCTTCTTTGTTTAAATCAATATTTATTATAGAATCTAAATTGCCTATTTTAGATTCTATAGACTCAACTTTGGTTTTTAGATAATTTTGATTTATTTTTTGATTTTTATCTAATTTTGAAAACTAAGAACACATAATATCAGTAATATTATTTAAAGTAGAACAGACATTATTTATATTTGCAGTTTCTTTAGTAATATGCAAACTATGGTCATATTTATTATTAACGTTATTTTTTATATTTCCAAAGCATATTATATCTTCAAGGTTAATTGCCATTATAGATTGTTGTTGGTACCTAAGACCCTTCTAGTGTATTTATCTGGTGCCTAAAACATCTCTTTATGATCTTAAAGACTTAATTATGGCAATAGTCAAAAGATCTTAATGAGTATATGGGTTTTGACATATACTAGGTATATAGGTTTTATAACAATTATAAATGAAACAAATAATTATGAACATATAAAACACAAAAGATACACAATTAAAGAGTAAATTTGACAAATAATATTTTCTGATTTTTTTTTAATATCATTAAGAACACCATACACACTTATATATATATATATATCAAAATTTATACATAGACAGAAATATTTACATAGCTTGATCTTGCTTTCAAAAGCTCTTTACCAAGTTTTGATACTTATTACAAAACAAAAAAGAAAATGAGTTTTCTACTATTTTTATTATGGAATTATGATGGAGTTATGGTGTTAAGAGACGTTAGAGACGAAGTAGGCAACCAAAGATGATGATAGCCAATCATCCTCATCTGAAGAAACATTAGATCAAGATATTTCACCAGAAATAAATAAAGGGAAAAGAAAGGTAGAAGAGCCAATTGATCCTGAATTATTTGGCACATGGGGAGATGGAGAAAATTTTGACTTTATTAAAAAAAATAAAGTTAAAAATGATACTAATACTGAAAGTACCTCTAATCCTACACCTGAGCCAGTAATATCTAGAAAAAATAATAATCATAAGTATCCAATAGCTCAAAATGGTACTTATTTAGACTTGTCTCATGTTCTATTTATGGATCAACCACAACCAATTGATGATTGGGTACAATCTTTGTCCATCATTATTACCAATTATAAAAATAGTTGGTTAAAGAAAAAATTCCTTGATTATATTGCAGCAACTCTCCGGGGAGATGTGTTACAATGGTTAAGACCGTAGGAAAAATTTGAAATTGGAAAAAGTAAAAAAAACAGCTTTGTTGGCAAATTTTCTCACACTTGATACAATATTAGCTGAGTTTGCAAAAATCATAAAAGAAAGCTTATGTGGTTTTGCAAGAGACACTAATTTGCAAGCAGATGCAAATTATATTTTGACTAAATTAGAATTATGTAATATTTGTCTTTTTGAAGACTATGTTCAAACTCTTAAAAAAATATTATTATCTTATTGATCCACCAGCAAATCAACCCTAATTAGATCAATTTTTCCATAAACTCTCTAATTCATGGGATGAGTTATATATTAAAACATATCATAATTATCTCAATAAAATGGGGAAGGAAGAATATGATAATCTTAGTTTTCGCATTAATTATGTTCTAAGACTGATAGCAGATCGGTGTCTAGAAGCAAAGGCGAAAAAACAAATAAAAAATCAAATTTCCAACTCACAATATGGTCAAAAATGTTGTGATAAAATTTTAAAAGAAAATTGAAAAATTGATTGTAATACATTTCCCAAGCGAAAATGATTTTCTAGAAAATGCAGAAAATATAAATGGACACCTTGGAAAAAGAACAAAACTTTTTTCAAAAAAGAAAAAGTATATGCAAAAAAAGAAACCAACAAGTGTTTCAAAAAAGAAAACTTGTAAATGCTACATTTGTAACGAAGAGGGTCACTATGCACCCGAATGTCCAAAAAGGAGAAAAAATTGCAAAGAAAATGATCAAAGTTCTTGAAGAACGAGACTTTGAAATAATATATGGCGAAGAAATTTCTGATGAAAAAAAAATCTTATACGAAATTTCTAGTAATGAAGAAAGTTCAGATGAAAAACTAATCTTCATGATGACTAATATTAATAATCAAGAAATATCTCAAGAAGCAGATAGTATATCTCCAGAATAATTATAAGCCATTCAACTTGGAGATGTAATCGGAGAAGAAAATTTTTTTACTGAATAAGAATTAACAAAATTCGAAAAAATGCAAGAAGTTGCGATGTCAGAAATTTATAAACTTTCAAAATTCAACTTCTTTTCAGCATGAGTTTTGAACAATACAGTGGCAACACTCAAGCAAAATGGTCAGAAGAAGGAAATATTGATATTTCTTTTTTTGATAAGAAAAAGGTTGTAAGATGGAAAAAGAAATATCCTGAAATTCAATATATTCATATTGGATTAATACAGGTAACCATAACAGTCTTATTCCGCCAAATGATAGATACTTATGTTTTGACAATAATTTTTGATAAAAGATTTTCCGACCCAATGAAAGAAATCATTGGAGGAATTCAATCTAATTTGGCTAATGAAATAGTTTGGTTTAATATTAGACCAAATTTCTTTATTTCCATAAATGATCCTAATTTTAAAGACACAGGCAAAATAAGAATTAAAACACAAGGATTGGGAATGAAATCTAATTCACATGATTTGGCTATTCTTTATAAAACAATTCACAAATTAACCAAATTTCCTGAAACAAAAACAAGATCAAACGATAATAAAATCGTTGAAATCTTTGAACCTAGACCATTTGACACGGTAATCCAATCTCGTCTAATGAATTGGAGTGATTTAGAAGTCCCTCGACAATGGTTAATCCATGACTTCGTAGAACAAGGAAAATCTTCTAAAACAAAATATCTTGCATAAATGCAAATACAAGCATCAGGAAAAAAATTTATATATTGAAAATATAGTTCCAAAAATTAAAAGATTTACTTCTGTATTTGAAAAAGATTTTCCTAACAAAGCATTGTCAAAATTAAGCATTGGTGAATTGAGTAATAATTCTAATCAAGAATTTATTACTTCAACAAATGTTCAGATTCCTATTTTCCCAGGAACAAGAAGACAATTCGAACATATTAAGTCTATATATATGCATCATTTTCAAACAAAAAAATGATGATATTATTTTTTTCTCCAAGCCAAGGAAAAAGAAGATACATATATGTATTGGGAACATCTAATTTTGTAGGTTATAAACTCTATAGCCTCAATGTTCTCATAGATACAAAAGCTACAATCAGCTCCTGTAAATGGAATGCCATCCCAAAAGAAAAATAGATATTAATGAAACATCCAATTTTGGTTACTGGAATTGATGGCAACTATACTTCCATACAATTCAAGGCTAAAAATATAGGTATTTGGTTAAATGATAGCAAGTTCATTATACTAAAATTTTTACGTTTTCCGTATATGCATGGAGAT